TCAACCCATCTATATGTCATTCGTCACCATTACATGGATCAGGGCTAGGAGACAAAGGAAACTTATCAATAAGGTTAAAAAAAATTTAACCAGAATTTAATTTTGACCAGTTAAACATTATACCGCATGTTGTAGTTAACTTTTTAATCTCAGGTAATTTTTATTTTTCCTTTGTTTCAACTTCATTAGCATACACATCCTCGGAGACCCAGAGGCAGTTTAATAGTCGGGTCGATAAAATGTTCATGGTGAAAGTTTACTGTAAGATCACCACGAACATTTTATCAACCCAACTAACTGCCCCTGGGTCTATGAGGATGTAGCATACATTACCATACCCAAAAACAAGAGAAAAAGAAAAATCACCTGAGATAAAAAATAAACTAACAACATATACCTTGTACTCATTCTCATATTCTACCAAAAATTTTTATTAGTACTTACAGACTATCTACCCTACAGGGCTCTCATAAAAGGTTGGGGCCAGGGGTATCCCACCATCTACTTTTGCAACGAACAAAAAGCAAATTGAACCAAAAGAACTTCTTAGTTATTCAATTTCCTGCTTACAAATTGCATACAACCATCAACTTGATATCTCTGTGACAGCCCAGACACTGAACCCATTTAGTTTTGCTTGGTTGTTAGTTTGTTTGTTTTTTCTTTACATATTATACCTGGAGAAGTTGGGCTATTATCTCAGCCCCTTCATCTCCTATAGTGTTGTATCCTAGATCCAGTCCAATAATGAATGTGTTGCTTTTTAAGGTTTTGTATAAAATACTAGCATCCTGCAAAAGGAAAAAAAATATTTTGTATTAAAGTTATGCTCCTATATTTGAAACACGTGCTGATTATAAAGAATGAGCCGTGGGTGGGTGGGCGCGGGGTTACTGCCTTATAAGAGGATAATGGAGATGTGCTGCTGGTCAAATTTTTAATAGAGTTACTAGGATGGGGTCGCACACTTTCGGATTTTTTGGGGTTAGACTGTTCTTCTTATTTACAGTTAGCAAACGTACCAGTATGCTTGTACTGCAAATGAAAAGTAAATTGTTCTTCATGGGTCAATTCATAAAAATAGAAAGTGACTGAGTTGGGATTGCAAAAATTACATATGTGCCCAAAAGTGACTAAGATGCGGTCTACAATAATATTGGCCAAAGAATAGACTATAATGAGGTATGGGCTCTGAGAGGCCAGCAGCACATACCCAGCAAAAATTAATCCAAGTACCCCCCCCAGGAAAATCAGCCATATCCAGCCAACTTAATCCACACCAGGTAAATCAGTAAAGGATTTTTTTTATGGCCTGGGGTTATACAGGCTCACCTGACCCAGTCAAGGTTTTGTCAATGGCCTCCCAATTCAGTTTGTAAAGTCAAACTTGCTAGTTGACCATACCACTCACCACCTTGGTTGGACCTAATATAAGTATTGTTTACTCCCAGGCTCACCCGACCCAGTCAAGGTTTTGTCAATGGCCTCCCGATTCAGTTTGTAAAGTCAACCTTGCTAGTTGACCACCACACACCACCTTGGTTGGACCTAATATAAATTGTTTATTCCCAAAACTGTTTTGCAGTCTATTAGCCTAAAGGCATGACATTTTTTATCCTGAGAGTGTCAGGAATTTTTGTGGGGGTCCGATATTATCCGAAGATCTCCGAAAATTTTTCAAAGATTTCCGAAGATGTTCTGAAGATGCTGGGAAGAGTTCTGTCTAACACAAACACAAGGGAACATGACCCCACCTCCAGTGACTAATACCCTACTAAAATAAGGGAAATATTCAGAGAAAGTCGATCATTTACATAGACTTTTCTTTTCTCTCATTGGTTCCTCTTTCTTTAAATAATAAATATATTTTTCAATTTGAGACAGTTAATGCAATAATGGCTCAAACATTTTTACCGGTCATGAGAAATTGGAACACAGGCGTGAGTTGGCTTGACATTGAAGTTTTGGATTCGCAGAAGTGACACTTGGCACGTATAGGTTAAGTAACATCAGTAAGTTGGTCTGCGGGCAAGTTTAAACTTTCTTAAAAATTATTTAACACACCTCATCGGTGAGCCTCCTTCTGTACATTTCATTGCGCTCATTCCTCTTGTTACCATGCAAATGCAAATTGAACTCAATAATTGGCTCTCTGTAGATAGGTAACACATAGAGTTATTTCTTATTTCTTAGTTATTTTTTAGCCTTCAGCATCTGTTTCCTACTTCCACCACTAGATTTCCAAAATTCATGCAAACTTGCATCAACTGGTAACTCTATATAAGGTGCATGCATGCATGGTCACTGGCGCCTGGTGTTATGTAAATCATGAATAAATCGTAAAACTGGCCTCTAGTTAAGCAGCCATAGTAATCTTTTCCTTTTCCCATACAGCTCCAGCATGGTTTAAGTTGTATACATCGAAATAATGATCATCATGGAATGGCATGGGATCTACATCAATATGGAGCAAGTTATGTTCTATGTTTTTGCAAAATAAATCATAAGGGAACGACTATTTGACTTTTGAGGGGGATATTGGTGATTTCAGAAAAAAAAATTCCTGCAGACTGATTTACAGGGAAAAAAATTATTGCGAGGAAATACCTGACGAAAAAAAAAATCCGCCCTGCACCGAAAAAATAATATCTTTCATAGCAATTAAATGCTGGAAAAAATTCTTACACCATTGTATGTCTGGAAATAAAATTCTATCACCAGAGGTTTGGGAAAAATAAAATTCTCACCCAAACCAAACAACCCATACCCCTCCCCCTTCAAAAGTCACATGGTCAGCCCTTAATTATTTAAAGTTCATCTAGATTTCCTTGAGTAGCTTGTCCCCATACACCAATAGCACTGCAAACAGGGCTGGTCTGTCAAATATCAAAATATGCTTTAATTATTTTAATAGTTGAGTACCATTGTCTCAATCTTGCCAGAATTCCAAGAGATTTGCTGATCTTTGAGGATATTTAATACTTCCAAGTGGGTTTTGAGTTGACAATAATACTGTTGACAAGAATACCGGTATTTATATTGTCTTTCCTTTCTTTTAGGAGATGAAGGAATTTACACCGAGGTCAAAGTATACAGGTGTAGTATGATCCATCATGCCAGGAAAAACACAAAATTTGAAAACTTTGGAAGCCTTATTCACACAACAATAAGAAAAAACATTAGGCATAAAAAAGATGCATAATATTTCAATATGAAGTGTCTGATCTAGAACAGAAATAAGTCCAATTTGCCAAATACAGACTAGTATGCGATCATGCCCTCTAATATCTCTATTATCTCTTTTGTGGGAAGCATAGCATGTCAATACATTTATTTTGCAGACCACGTACCTGGGGGAAAATACCGCTTGTCAATATTAACGTACATGGGGGAAAATAACACTTGTCAATACAAATAACACATGTCAATACATTTATTTTGCAGACCACGTACATGAAAAAGCCAGAATCTGGTCCAGACAAAATACATCTGACACCATTCTGTTCTGATTAAATGTCAATACATTTATTTCACAGATCACATGTAAAAGAAGCCAGAATCTGGTCCAGACACAGTATGTCTGACACCATTCTGTTCTGACAGTTTCTTGTAGGACTGCAATATTTGCAATGGTGTTGCCAAAATAGATGGACAAATTCTTCCCAGCTTACATTTTTTTTTTTTCATTTTTGTGGCCAATAATAAAAACTTGAAGTGCAAAATGATATTACTCTATCACAGAAATAAGCTTGTGTTAGTTTCTCCAATAAAATTAATTATAACTGAACAGAGCCATTATTTTTATTTCCCCTAGTACAAAGAGCAGACATCTTTCACACTATGATGACAGATCAACCAGATGTTAATTAATTTTTTAGCCTGGGGGCAGGGAGACAGTTGGCAGCTCTTGAAAAAGTGTATCAAGTGTTATTTTCCCCAACTCTCTTGTTGAAAAAAAATAATAATAATAATAAAAATTCAATACCAGGTCACATGCAGAAAGTTGAACTTATCAACCTTACATCTGATACACAATAATAAGTTACAAAATTCCCACCAACAGTGAATTAAACAAAATCTTGTGGTACACAAGAAACCAATCAATTACCATAATTTATTTTAAGACAATTTAAATTGTAGGCATTAGTCAACATAACTGAATTATAAGCCCATTGTCTCCTCAGAAAAATGAACACGAATGCCAAGAGGGAAAAAAGCAGTGTAAATTACCCGTGGTTACCTAGCAACAAAAAAGAACAAAGAACATTGTCTAGTCTCCCATTGTTACCCCAAGTATATTTGCTTCTGTTCAACACAATTGGAAGAGGTTGCCATTAGAAACATCAATGTTATTGCAAAAACGGAAGTGAAACATGGCTATGCATACCTTCACGTACTACAACCTTATTAAGCTTATCTTTACCCAGACTTCGTAATAAATTTCAAGGTCACTAAACTTGTCTTTCAAAGTTAATTAAGACTTTTGCAAGCTGCTATTTAATCATGTGATCGGAAATCGTCCTTGCCATATTTTCGTCGAAATAAAGAGAACTCAATTCTATAGATTACAAGCCTCATCGAAAGATTGAAGGATTTTAGCGTGAATTTACAAAAAGAGTAAACACCATAACTTACAATAAGCTGTCGTCGACTGCTGAGTTGAGTACAGCTAAAATATTACTATCCGGTTCCTTCCCCAACTCAACACACACTTTTATGTAATCTTCCTTCGTAGAGGCAGCGTCGCTCATCGCTGAATCTTGCAAAGATCGAAAACTTATGCCAATTTCAACTAATTTTTCTTTGAAAACAAAGATGAATTATTCCCGCCAAGTCCGCGGCCATTTTGAAATGCGTTGCTAAGCAATGCTTGCTTTGATAGCCTCGTTTGCATATCAAGGAAATTTGATATAACCTTTGTTTTTATTGGTTCATAACTTGTTGTCTTGCATCCAATCAAATGATTGCTAAGAAATTGAGAAGTAAATATTTACACGTTTCCACAACAACAAACACCTCTGTGGCCGGTCTCCAAGACTTCGGCAAACTTTCAAAGAGACAACAGCAAAGGCGTAAAGCTTTCCTTGCCTTGAGACATTCTGATTCAGTCTGTCCGAAATCTTACTAGCAAGTGTCATTTTTCTCTAATAACAAGATCGCTCCAAATATGACGATACGGGCCGACGACGAAGAAGAAACGAAGTTACATGTGGCCGTACGATTGCACAACTTGAAATTAGTTCGCGCTGCGCTGCGCGATCGGGGATTAGATATCGATGCTTTGGGGACTTGTGGCTGGACAGCTTTGCACGAAGCTGCTTCATGCGGCTATCAGGACATTGTAGAGCTTCTCTTAGAAAATGGGGCTGATCCCAATATTCAGGACAGCGTGCAAAAATGCACCCCCATTCATCTCGCTGCGCGGAAAGGTCATTTGGAAGTAGTCAGGAGTTTGGTTCAAAGTGGAGCGAGGTTAGATTTGAAGAATTCTGAAAGAAAAATACCTCAGGATTATGCCCAAGAAGAGTGCAGAGTGTTTCTAATGAGACAACGTAAGTATTGATTGTTTAAAACTTCAGGGCATGTAGATAAAAACCATCACATTTGGTTAGGACAGAAACCATTGAATGAAACTTGCATTATCGATGGTTAATAAATGTATCATCTGTGCTATTCAAAAGCGGAAGAGCGATTTGTTGAATGTGCCTGAGTATTTGAATTGTTTAAAAATGTTTTGTGAATATCCTGACAAGATTTTAGTTTCGCTCATTCGATTTTTTTATGTATGAAAACTTTAAAAGTGACCAATGGACATTTTTGTAATCGATTGATTATCGAGTTATGTCAGCTGTCTGGGAAATGTTTTCAGGAGTAATTCGAGGAATCAGCAGAACAATTTTGGGAATATTGCCCTCGAGGTTGCGAAAGTAGAGATAAGCAATATTTTTAATTGTGAATGGCGTTTTAATACGTAACCCAATACGTGTATACCATGTGATTACCAATCTTTTGTCTCGATCGCTCCTTTGTTCTGTCGTTTAGACGGGAAAGTCGAGATTTGTAAGTCCGCGGTAAGCTTAATACGTGGATGTTTCTTCTGTATCTTACAAACTATTGGTTACGCCATAACAACAAGTTCTCGACGAGTAACGTGTTTAGTATATAAGCTAACAAATCTAAGGAAAGAATGGAAAGAAACTCGTGCTATTTATATAACTTATATTAAAACTACATTTTTTCGCTTGGTTGTTGTTTTTTTTTCATAGGAATCGACGATGTTGTAAAGTTAAGCCCGTCTCCTGTAGAAGACAACCAATCTGTTCAAAGGGTAAGCTACGTGTAATTTGATCAAACTGTTTTTTTTGTTTTTTGTTGTTGGCTATTAATTTATTAACTTATTGTGTAAACAATATCTGTATGAACAGTAATATTTGTTGACATTGCAAGTATGAAAGTCCATTTATAGTTTAGGCTACAGTGAATGTTAAATAAACTGAAATCACGTACACATAATGATTATTCTATACTCTCTGGCAGGTGGACAATATGGTAGACTAAGTCTAAAATAAATAGACACTATTTTGTTGTTGGTTATTAACTTAGTAACTTATTGTGTAAACAATGTCTGTATGAACAGTAATATTTGTTGATGTTGCAAGTATGAAAGTCCATTTATAGTTTAGGCTACAGTGAATGTTAATAAACTGAAATCACGTACACATAAATGATTATTCCATACACTCAGGCGGTTGGACAATAGACTAAAATAAATGGACAATATTGGTGGATAATTAAAAAATTATATTCATACGTGGAGAAACTGCTTTGCAGATGGGCAGATTGGTTAGCTAAATTAAACAGATCAAATTTTGATCTGTTGAATTTAGGGACATTGGTCCTGTCACTGACCCAAATATTGATATCATCTTGTTCATGCCAGAAAAAAAATTTTCTACATTTTTGAGTATTCAAATCCATTGGTATCCCAACAGGTTTACGGTGGTAGATCAAGCCAAAGCCCAGTTTTGAGCAAAGTGCGACGATCATCTCCACAGTGGTCTGAAAGCTCACAGAGTTCAACAGAAAGCATGTCATCAACTTGTTCAGGTTGTTATTCTTTTTTAAAAGTCATTTTTATGTTTTATTAAAAGATCAGAGTTGTAAGAAGAGAAAGGAGTTAAATGGAATCAGAGTCAAAAGAATGGGAATGTTTTTCAGTTTATTCTGATTCCTTTTATGACTGTGTCGCACATGATCTAAAGACTGTTTGAATTCAAGAGAAAGTCAGGTTGATTTTCATAAGATTGTTATCAGGGTCAAAACCTCTTGCTGTCACTAGCATGTGCTAACCCAGTAGTAACTTTAACTACTGTAGCCCTTAAACAAAATTGATGAGCATTGATTACAGTTCTGTTGTTTGAATTCCCTCAAAAATATGTTACTTGTGTATCAAGCAAGTTAAGAACAGAATTCACTAGCCTGATAGCAAAATCCATTATATCCCTGGGCTGTCATACGCTACTTTATTTGCATGCTGTGTTATGCTATGTGTTTTTTGACTTCAATTCATTTGCAAAGGAAAATCAGTCATAAGCAAGCACAATGTAGCATTTAACTCGATATCATCCATATAAAAACTGTGTTCTGTGTTGTGCTGCCTTGGTTCATCCATTGCCGAAAGAATTTTTTGTTAATTAAATCGATGGTAATATTCAAAAATAGTAACAAGGAAGTTGAGCAGACCCAAAAAGGGCATTGGTTGTAATTAGATTTTTAGAATAATTCTAGAAAAACCAATCAACCAATATGATTTAATAGTATTCACAATCTTCAGCTGTGGATTAACAATTCAAAAATCCACTTAGGACATATTGTATGGACTGCATTCCAGAATAAAAATAAATGGAAATCACTTCTTTTGGCATTCATTAAATTGCAATATCTAGAAATCAGCTTGAAATAAAATATTCTAATATATGTAGAGTTGAAATGGCCCAAAGATCACAGTAGAAGAGTTTTGTAACGAACCATTTGCATATTCTTATTCCAGAACACAACCAATTGAACACACCCCTAGTCTCAGACATTGAAATAAGAATTGCTATATAGCTAGCGGAAATTAATAGAAGTTTCAAAGCTTCAAAGAAGAGATGCAGGGCTGTGCCCTAGCAGAGCCCGGTGGCCCCTGGCACTTAACTTTTGCTCTCGGGCGACGAGGAAATCTTAGATTTTTCATACAGCACTGGGCTCCCTACAATTTTCCTTAGAGCACAACCTTGAGATGTAGTAGTAATTGCTTACCAAGTGCCTTTTGTACTATAGGTTCCAGTGAAAGCTTCTATGCATCATCACCAGATATATATCAACCAGGTATGCATGCCTTCCAAATTGTCACCTCTTACTATTGTTAGAAATACAATATTATCTTGAGTTGCTTAGTAAAAACACTGTGTTTCCAACATATTCATTTGGGATATCAAAAGCAGTTATTTGACAAGAAATCCTTTACATAGATGCAAGCAAAGTAAACCTGTCCTAAATAGCTATAATTTGAATCATTCATCCACAGACTCAACTTTTGGAAGTGTCTTGTACATTGTAAGAAAAGAACACCTTAGAAAAGTACTTCTGAGTATTGATCTATTTGAATTAGTCCTTTTAGGAATTATCCATACTGGTATAGCAGTCCTTTGAATCATTTTATTTACAATTATGTGGCAGTGCCAGGTTTACATAATTGAATATCTTATTCTTTTTCTTGTAGGCCCAGGGGAGATTAAGGTTGCACTTGACTTCAACAGATCACGACATACACTGATAGTTCGATTGGAGGAAATCCGAGATGTCAAGCTACCTGCAGGTATAAATGGTAGATTCCATGAAAATGAACTTAAAGACTCTTGATATCAGTTGAAGCTCTAAAAAACCAACAAAAAATTTATGGCTTCCTAAGTTTATCATGAATATACTTAAAATTCCCCACTTTAGCCTTGGATAATAGTAGTCTAAATCCCATAATTTTCACATTGCAAGGTATTCAACTTTTTACCCCATGAAAAGTAATGTGGAATCAGGGAAATTCTTGCTACTGGAGTCCAGAATCCAGGAAATTTTGGTTGTGGAATCCAGACTCCTCGGCTTTGGAATCCAGCTTTCAGCCTTACGATTAGAAATCCTAGTTCCACGGATACCAAATCTGGAATCCAAAGCTTGGAATCCAGAATCCGAGACTGTCTTAGATTACCCTACGGAGGGGAAAAAACTTTGTCTTGCAGGAGTACATGGGAGTCAAAGAAAATTTCTCTTGATTTTTGGCAGATCACAACCTGTCTCATGTTTATGTTAAATGCTACATTGTCCCTGATTTCAAGAAGGCTACCAAGCGGAAGACAGCTCTCCACACATTGTTGCAAAATGATGGAGGGCGAAGTTCAAGCGACAGTGTCGCCAGCTGGAGCAGTGAGGACAATAATTTGGGGAAACCTTCGG